ATTTTCTTGATGGTTAGGTACAATCCATATTGAGATTTGTGCTCTCTTTCTCTCTCTCTCTCTCCTTCCCCCCCCCACCCCACACACACATATACACTGCCCTAGAGTTAGAACCGACTCAGAATAAATCCTCCAAAGAGTTTCTGGGGCTGTAGATTGCATGGGAAAGCTTGCCTATCTTCCCCCTGCTGAGCTACTAGTCGCTTCAAACTGCCAGAGAGGTGCTGCCTTGAGTTCAACAGCACAACTCCCTATATAGACTCTGCCACAAGAGTGCCCTAAAAATAGTCTGACATGAGACAAAGCCACTGGAAGCAGAATCATGTTGGCACATACAATTAACCATCACACTTAGCTTTTACCTTCCCTTTATGAGGAAACTGTGGACAGTCCTGAGAAACTGAAAATTAGTTGGGCTGAAAGTGAAGCTACAGGTATAGTATTGGAACTCTGCCAACTTTAAGTTGGCAGCCCAGTATTTAATCCACTGCACCACCATAGACCCTTTCAGGGAAAAACCAGAGCTACACAAACGGTACTTTTTAATTACCTTCCACTCTTGTCTGGCTTTGTCTTGACGTCACATTCCACGTTAGGTTCCTTGGAGTTGACTAGGACTCATAGTGACTCTATGAGCAAAGATCAGCCTTTTGCTGTATCCTGTGCCATCCTCATGCTCTCTGCCACGGACAAGCCCACCATTGCTAGTCACTATGTCAGTTTATCTCATTTAGGGTCTTCCTCTCTTTCACTAAAGGGCACTCTCTTACTGCACAATTCCAGCCTCTGGAAGCCTACTGAGGGGTTAGGTAGGGGTTTGTTCCAACTTGACAGCAATGAGTTGAGCAAAAATAATTTGTTTTTATTAAATTTTCAGGAAAAATTTACACTCGGTTTCTCAACTTTCTTTAAACTCATACCACCTTTCAATGAATATAAAAACCTCTGCCAGAGTTGTAACACCTGCTTCTACCTTAAGTTCTGTATCAGTTTCCTTTGGCTGCTAAACAAATTACCACAAAGTATGTGGCTTTCGACAGAACGTCATTCTCTGACAGTTCAGGGGACCAGGAGCTTAAACATACGTGTTGACAGGGCCGCACTCCTTCCAGGGACTCTGCAGGACCTGCGCTTTATGCTTCTCCTGCTCCTCATGGCCATTCCCTTCCTTAGCTGGTGGTGCCCACTCATTCTGGTCTCTGCCTTTATCTCCACGTTACCTTCTCCTATAGCTTTATAGGGAGAACTCTGATGATGTCCTGGTAAGAAGCTGTGCTATAATCCCCAAAGTACTCTCTTCTAATCCACCTGCTGCTCTGCAAGAGAAGGATGGGCAATCTTTTCCCTCTCTATTAACTGCCTCTGAAAATCTGCTGGAAGGTCAACTATAAGTTGGTTCTGGCTTGACCATAAACAACAACAGCATAGCTTCATAAGACATCTATTTTGGACAAAGTGCAGCCAGGGTGCTCCTTGGAAGCAAAGGTGGCAAAGCTTCATCTCACATATTTTGGGCACGTTGTTAAGAGGGACCAGTCTTTGAAGAAAGACATCTTGCTGGGAAAGGTGAAGGGTCACCAAAGGAGAGGAAGACTGTCTACAAGATAGATTGATGCAGTGACTACAGCAATGGGTACAAGTGTGCAGAGATGAAGAGAATGGTGCAGGATAGGGCAGATACATGGTTCACTGTATGACTTGATGGTACCTAACAACAGCATAGCTTTGTAAGCATCTGCTTGTGTTTTCCTTCTGTCATGGGTCCCACTCTGCCTGTCTATTAGGAGAATACTTGTTGGAATTAGGGTCCATCTGGAGAATCTCAACTCAAGATTCTTCATTAAATACATCCATAGAGACCCTTTCTCCAGACAAGGTTACATGCAAGGTTCTGGGGATTAAGGCTTCGATGTGTATTTGGGGAGGTAGGAAGTATCCCTATTCAACAATGGAATTGTGTTCTAACTCAAAAGCTGTCCCTTCTCTGCTTGTTCAAATCCACCTGCAGCTTGGTGAAAGATGGGCAATATCTCCTGCTCAGTGTTTAGGCTTGGGCTAGACAGTCATCTATGAGCCAGTTCCAGCTTGAAGGCAGTGAAGGTTAATTTTGAGTATCCAATTCACTCCACCTCGACTGATGAACACCAATTAGCAGAGAGCTGCAGAACAGAAGGAAAGACCTTCAACACGACAGATGGCCACAATGGCTGCATCAGTAGGCTTCAGCACAGCCACCATGGTGAGGGTGGTGCTAAACCAGACAGTGTTTGTTCTGCTGTGTGAGTGGTGGCTGGGAGTCAGAACCCACAGGGTGATCATAAGAGCACCAGTGACAATGAGCAGAAGAGCCTTCCTAGCTAAGAAGGTTTTGTTACACATGAGAAGAATTGTTGTTTCCAAACATAAAAATAAAATAATATGGTTTTCCATTAACATAATTTTCTTCCCATTTGAGAAACAGCAGAAAATATGCTAACTTTATTCCATACCTTATTTGCCCTGACTCAGACCCTTGTGACCTTCTGAATGTCCATTAGGGATGCTCTCTACTACAAAGAAAAACTTCCCTAACAATGACTGAAGCAGAAAAGACATTTACTCACTTCCCATAGCAAGTCTGGAGGAAGAAGATCCCGGAATAAGTGTGGCTGAGCAAGAGCAGCGTCTAAGTTGGTGTTTCTGTGACTTTATTGTCTGTTCCTTCATGGCCCCCAATGGCTTCCTTCTCACTCACTTCCCAGCAGGTAATAAGGAAAGAGGGTAAAGAGACTCCTCCTTATTCAGACATTTATCAGAGAAAAAGAAATTTCCAAGAATTTCCATTTCTATCATCAGATCTCCCTCCAGTCTGTTACATTGGCCAGTTGTATCTTGTGCCCATTCCCAGACTAAATCCACCCTACCTCACTGGTATTGAGTTAATTCTGTTCATAACAATCCTATAAGACAGAACAGAATTGCCTTGTAGGGTTTCCAATTCTGTAGAGAATCTATAAAGAAGCAAGCTGAAGAAATGTTCAAACTCCCTAGCTATCAGAGAGATTCAAATAGAAACAGCATGAGACATCATCTTACCCCAGCAACAACAGCAAAGTTTGACAGGGGCACAAACAACAAATGCTGGCTAGGTTGTGGAGAGATTGGAACCCATATTCACTGTTGGTGGGAGTGTAAAATGATGGAACAACTATGAAAGATGGTATAATGTTTTCTCAAAAAGTTGGAAATAGAAATATCATTTGACCCAGCAATTCCACTACTGGGAATATAAAAGAAAACCAGAGTCACTACTCAAACAGATGTATATATACCAATTTTTATTGCTGTGTTGTTCATAATAGCAAAGAGATGGAAGTAACCCAAGTGCCTATCAATAAATGAATGGGTGGAAAAACTATGGTCTATCCACACAATGGAATACTGCGCAGAACAGAAAGACAAGAAACTTGTAAAATATTACACAACACAGGTGACCTGGAGGACATTATGCTGAGTGAAATATCTCAGTCAGAAAAGGACAAATACTGCATAACACCACTGTTATAAAACAAGACTGATATGGGGGTTTGGCGGAAAGTAAGAAAAGAGGATAAAGATTGAACACTGCATTGGGACAGATGAAGGAAAGACTATTTTAAAGGAATATATGATTAGGCATTATTTGTATGACAACAGTCCAGAATAAGAGGTGCATAGCAAAGTGGATGGGGGGGGGGGTGAATCGTGCAACAGCGAATGATTTTTTGTTAAAAAAAAGAAATATCTCAGCACAAAAAGATAAATATTGCATAGTGCCACTGTCGTAAAACGGGACTGACATTGGGGCTGAGGGGAGACTGAGAAATAAGGGATAACTAATGTATACTGCATTGAAACAGATGAGGGAGAAAACTGTTTAAAAGAGTATTAGGTATGATTAGGTATTATTGTCATGACAGGTATTATTGTCATGACAGGAGTCCAGAATGAAGGCTGCATAGTGGAATGGACTTGAGGGGAGGCATTGTATAACAATGAAAGAATTTTTCTTTTATTTTACAAAGAGAAAAGTAAACTGTGGGGGAGGGTTGGGCAGGGAGAAAAGTGCAACAATGAATGAATGAATGTAAATCAAAAGTCTCTCTAAATTTTCATTAAAATTAATAATAATAAAATTTTTAAAAAGTTAAAAAAGTGAATTGGGGTATGGAAGAAAAAGTGCAACAATGAATGGATGAAAATCCAACATTTCTGTAAATTTTCTTTAAAAATCACAATTAAAACAAAAAAAAATTCTTAAAAAAAAAAAAAAGCCAGCAAGCTAAGATGTCTTCTTTCTCCTGTGGGGTGGCTGAGAGATTTGAACCACTAGCCTTTGGGTTAGCAGCTACGTGATTAACTACTGCACCAACATGTCCTTACTTTTAGGCCAGTCCTTAGCAAAGAAGAACTGTTGTGGTGGTGGTGGTGGTTATTAAGAACTTTCCAGCCGGAACTGACTCATAGCTGGCCCTCCAGTGGGTTTTCAGAGACTGTATATCACAAAGGAGGAGATTGACCAGCTTTCTCCCCTAAAGCAGCTGATGGGTTCAAACTGCATGCCTTTAGGTTGCCACTAGACCACCAGAGCTCTCTAACAAACAGAAACTAGAATCATATTTTTAGCTTAAACTGACCATGATCTGATTCACCTTTCTGGAACTTGTGTAAATTAAGATTTGTACAGACACTCACCTTGTTTTACTCGCTCCTTCACTAGAGTGTAAACCCCTCATAAAAAGAGTTTTGTCTACCTTGTTCAGTGCTGCATCTGCTCTCAGAACAGTGTGAGGAATCCCGTGTTCATCCAGTGAATGAATGAACAAACAGGGTAAGGGGTGATGTGGGCTTTCGGTGGTTCACTTCTGCTCTCAGCACACAGCCCCAGTATGATGTGCATCTGCTGCTTCTCAGACCCCTGACCGAGTCCTTGTGCTTTCCCCGCAGGTGCAGAGCCACAGCTGAAGGCGGCTCTGGTGCTCATGATCCTTCCCAATTCCTCCTGCATCTTAGAAGATGAGATGTGTCCAGGGAACAGGACCACCATGGCCAGACCCCAACTGATGCCCCTGGTAGTAGTCCTGAGCTCTATATCCTTGGTCACAGTGGGACTAAACCTGTTGGTCCTCTATGCCATCCGGAGGGAGAGAAAGCTGCATACAGTGGGGAACCTGTACATCGTCAGTCTCTCAGTGGCAGACCTGGTTGTGGGGGCTGTTGTCATGCCCATGAACATCCTGTACCTTCTTATGACCAAGTGGTCTCTGGGTCGGCCTCTCTGCCTCTTTTGGCTGTCTATGGACTATGTGGCCAGCACAGCGTCCATTTTCAGTGTGTTTATCTTGTGCATTGACCGCTACCGCTCTGTCCAGCAGCCCCTCAGATACCTGAGATATCGTACCAAGACCCGAGCATCAGCCACCATCCTGGGTGCCTGGTTTCTTTCCTTCCTGTGGATTATCCCCATTCTAGGCTGGCATCACTTCATGCCAGGGGCCTCAAAATGTCACGAAGACAAGTGTGAGACAGATTTCTATGATGTCACCTGGTTCAAGGTCATGACTGCCATCATCAACTTCTACCTGCCAACCTTGCTCATGCTCTGGTTCTATGCCAAAATTTACAAGGCTGTACGGAAGCATTGTCAGCATCGGGAGCTCACCAATGGATCCCTCCCTTCCTTCTCAAAAGTCAGGTTAAGGCAGGAAAATCCCAAGGTAGGCACCAAGAAGGTGGGGAGGAAATCTCCCTGGGAGTTACTGAAACGGAAGCCAACAGATGCCAGTGACGGACCTGGCTCAAAGCCACCATCCCAAGATCCAGAGGAGATGAAATCCCCAGTTGTCTTGAGCCAAGAAAAGGATGAAGAAGTAGCGCAGCTCCACTGTTTCCCTCTTACCACGGTGCAGACAGAGACTGTGATAGAGGGGAGTTGCAAGGAGCATGCAGCCATTGACAAGATCCAACTGGAGATTGATGAGCAGGACCTCAACACACATGGAACCGGGGAGATATCTGAGGACCAGTCCTTCTCCCGGACAGACTCAGACACTGCCACCGAGCCAGTGGCAGGGAAAAGCACACTGCAAAGTGGGTCTGGCACAGGTATGGACTACATCAAGCTCACATGGAAGAGGCTGCGCTCACATTCGAGACAGTATGTGTCCGGATTACACATGAACCGTGAATGGAAGGCGGCCAAGCAATTGGGTTTTATCATGGCAGCCTTTATCCTTTGCTGGATTCCATACTTCATCTTTTTCATGGTCATCGCCTTCTGCAAGAACTGCTACAATGAGCATGTGCACATGTTTACCATCTGGCTGGGGTACATCAACTCCACACTGAACCCCCTTATCTACCCCTTGTGCAATGAGAACTTCAAAAAGACATTCAAGAAAATTCTGCACATTCGCTCCTAAGTGTACTTCAGAGGGGTTGCAACAAAGTGATGCTGACGGTATCCTAGAAGGCAACTGAGGATAGAGGCCTGAGTGCTGCCTGGCACTGGGTCTTTCTGAGTCAAGACAACAAGTCTCAGGGCTAGGGTGTTTGCACAGTTCTTATGTACCACTGGAAGACAGTGGATGGTAGCAGTCAGAGAGATTGTACTGAGTGAAAAGCAGAGTGTTTCCAAGGGAATCAGACCTGGAAAGAACTCTCCTGCTCGTCAAGAAATCTGGGAGTCTCAGACTGTACTTGCCTTCAAGCTTTTAGACTCTAATTAATTAAAAACTGGAGGGACATGTGGATAGAGCTTTGCTGGAGCATTAGCCAAAGCTCTCAAGCATTCCCGGAAGGGAGCTTATGCATGGGTCACCTTGAGAGGCAGGACAGCTGGCTGGCTGTGGCCTCCACTTCTCAGAACACCTCTCTTCTGAGTATATTTTACAGCTTCTCCAGAACCACTCTGGAAATCTGTCTTATTATTTCTCACTCACACATGTCTTAGAGTAGGAAATTCTGCAGTTTGAGAACCTACCATTTTCAATACAAATTTTTTTTAGCTCTTAAAAATAAAATGCCCTCAAAAGAAAGAGAAAATGATTGCATGATCATAACAAAAAGGGAGTAGAAAAAAGAAAGCCTTATCTCCTGAGGGCTATGAGGTATTTAGAGGCCCTGGGTGTTGGGCCTGGCTGTAATGTAGGGATGGCAGTTTGTTTGCCTGGGCAGAAAGGCTTTACAATCTACTTCAAAAGAGAGCTGCTGGTGAAACCCTGTGAAACTCAGCTCTATTCTGCAGTGCATAAGGTCACCACATGTTGCCCACTCATGGGCAGCTGGGTTAATGGGTACCATGTTCATCTTATTGAAGTCCTGTATCACCCCACAAAAGGAAGATATTGTTACTGTCTCCAGCAGACTAAGATGCAGCAAGATTAAGCAAGTTGTCCAAGGGTACATGGGAGCAAGGGAGCTAAGATAAAAACCCTGTCTGATGCCACATTTTCTCCAAAAGGGAAAAAAATTGTCCTACTAAGTGCACAGACACAGACATGTTCTTAAGACCTGTGGCAAATGTATATATAGTAGTTGTGTATCATCAAGTCAGAACTGACCCATAGCTTTCCCTCTGGTGGGTTTTCAGAGGCAGTTAATCAAACGGGAGGAGATTGCTTATCTTTCTCCCACTGAACAGCTAGTGGCCTCGAAATACTTTGGAATTGCAGTGTAGCTTCTTGCCACCAGAGTGTGTGTGTGTGTGTGTGTGTGTGTGTGTGTGTGTGTGTGTGTGTGTGTAGAGAGAGAGACAGAGACAAAGACAGAGACAGAGACAGACAGACACACACAGACAGACAGATGGAGACAGACAGACAGAGACAGTAACTGCATGAGAAGGGAGGAAAGCAGGCACAGACTCAGTCTGTGCCCACAGGAGCTGACTGCTTTGTACAAGAGAAGAGTTTGGTTGTGTTTGCTGAATAGTTGTGTGTTCTATCATAGATACAATAACAAGAGCATCAGAACATACATAGGGCTTTATTTGGTGTTTCTTTTACAATCTTGTTTTGAAAAATTTAAATTTTCATACCTGAAAAATTAAACTCTAAAATGTGTAGCAAATGGGACTGTCTATCCAAACTAATATTTTGTATCTGTGTTCCTGTTTCATGATTGGTTAAAATGAGATGTTTTTACCTACATAAATATGATGTTTGAAGCTATATTGTTAAATGATTTATTATTTTGTACATTTCAGAGTTTCTTGGACCAAGGAGGTATATTCAAATGTGTTATTTAACTGTTAAAGATTTGATATGCAGTTTGTCTTAAAGTTCTGGTTGCGTTTGTACACATATCTTAGAAAAGCCATCTATGAATAACACTTCTTTTCTGCATCCCCAAAAGGTTTTTTTGTTCAATACTATGATAATTTAGGAACCAATTATCCTGGTTTTAGAAGTTGAAGTTAGTCTATTTTGGGACAGAAACAATTGCCTGAAAGGCATGTGAAAAGTCAGGATCCAGAAAGCATTAAAAACACACATGTGTGTACATGTACACTCCGTATAGATAAATTGTTACATGCCTATTGTAATATATTATTGTTCTTGTTGCTGTTATGTGCTGTCAAGTTAGAATCTAATCATATCTGACCTTCCAGTGAGTTTTCAAAAATGATAAATCACATGGAAGTGGATGACATATCTCACTTCTGAGGAGCTACTCCTGGTAGATTTAAACCATGGGTCTCTTGGGTGGCAGTGCGGCTTCTTGCCACTAGGTCACCAATCCTCCCCTATAATCAAGGAAATCAGTGGAGAGAAGTGGTTATGAGCACTGACTTGAAGGTCAAAAAAGACCTGGATTTAGAAATATAATAAAATCCCAACCCAGAGTCCATCATTATTTGTTTAAGAGATAGAAAAACTTTATAATAAAAATTATTTTAAAAATTGTAATAGTTATATATAAAAAGGAAAAGGATCCCAGATATGCAAAGCAGAAGTGAAAAAGAAGATGGAAGACGGCTTCACACACCTGTTCTCAAAGCCTATGACACAGCCATAGTCAGAATGCAGCAATGGTCAGAACAGCCTGAGGCTAGTACAACAGACACAGAAACTAATGGAACAGAATTCAACACCAAGAAGTAAATCCACCCACTTATGGACACGTGACCTTTGACAAAAGGCCAACACTTATTAAATGAGGAGGTGCAGTATTTAACAAATGGTGCTGGCAAAATTAGATATCCACTATCTTTTTCACCATATATAAAAACTATTTCAAAATAGATCAAAAACCTAAGTGTAAAACCTCAAATTATAAAGAGCATCAACTGAAAAGTAAGAGCTCTCATCATGGCTTAAATACAATGTCAAACATCTAAAAACTGCAGGAAAAAACTTAGATGACTCTCAAACTCATTGCCATCAAGTTGGAACCCTTCACTGAGTTTCAGAGCTATAAATTGCTTAGCAGAAGATTGCCTGTCTTTCTCCCACAGAGCTGTTAGTGGATTTGAATCAGCATGAGGGTGTGGTTTTGGGATTAGCAGCACACCTAACTCTCTATGGACTATGTCTCCAGAGTTCCCCAGATGACTGGGATATCCGAAAAAGTAAGCATTTGTCTGCATGAAAAGACTGCACCAAAAGGGTGAAAAGAGAACCTACAGACTGGGGAAAAATTTTTGGCACCAGCATATTGGACAAACTGAATGAATTGAGAAATTATGGTAAATTATGGTACATTCACACAATGGAATACTATGCAGCTCTTAGGAGCAATGATTTAAAAAAATACTACATAATTTAGGAGAGATTAGAGAGCATTATGGTGAGCAAACTTAAATCAATCTCATAAGGACAAATAATACATAAAACCATTATTGTAAAAATAAAAAGATAACTAGTGCACGTATGGGAGCCCAAGGGAGGAAGGGGTAGGAGCAGAGGGGTAAGGATGAGTAGGTGCAAAATTAGAGTTGCACAGTTTGGTGGGTGGAGGGACAGGGTAAAGGAAATAGGAAAGATCAAGTGGGAATCTGAAAAGACAGATACAGTACTGATAGGTATAGTCCAATGGTAATTAAATTTATTTTACATATTTAACCTAATGCATGAATAATACATATTTAACATAATACTTGGGAATGCATGTATGAAACACAATGTGAATAAAGAATAGTTTGAAACATAATGTATGCTAACTTTGTAAGCAAACTAATATAAAAAAATTGAAAAGCCACAGCATACTGGACAAGGGAATAATCTCTAACAGTTATGGACAACTTCAGTATATCAAATACCAAAACAAACAATCCAATTAAAAAAATGGTCAGAGGACATGAATAGACACTTTTTCAGAGAAAACCTGCAGATGGCCAGCAAAGACAAAGCATTGCTCACTACCATTCACCATTAAAAAGATGTAAATAAAAACAATGAGATGTCATCTCACCCCAGCAATAATAGAAAAGTTCAATAAGAATAAACAACAAATGCTGATAAGGGGGGGGGTGTGATATTGGACCCCAGAGCTGGTGAGACTGGAAAATGGCATGATGCTTCATTTAGAAATAATAATAGAAACACCATGTGATCCAGCAATCTAGAGGGATATCCTAGAGAAATAAGAGCCTTAGCATGAACAAATGCATGCCCATCAATGTGCATTGCAATAGTGCTTACAAGTGTGCTTCAACTAATGAATGGATGACAAAATATTAGGCAAAAATAGGGAATAACAACTAATTTTAGGAACATTTTATGTGAATGAACTAGAGTTTAATTAGTCATTGTAAAAGAACAAGTGTTGTATGAGATGACAGTGAAAAGTCAAGGAAAGGTTTACACGCAGAATGAAACATCTTTGAAGGTTACCAGGAGCAGTAGGGAGGGAAGGGTTTCGGGAGTTCTGCTGTCCTGATGATGAGGAGCTGCGCTGCCAACTCGAAGGCCATCACTGACTGCTCCGTGAGTGGAGGATGACCAGTCTCCTCCTGGATGATTTACAGCCTCTGAAACCTGCTGGAGGGTCAGCTATGGGCCGGTTCTGACTCAACAGTACACAACAACAAAAATGGACAGTACCAAACCCAAACCCAAACCCAAACCCAAACCCACCAACATTAAGTCATGTGACTCCTAGGGACCTTACATCAAGTTTCTAAGGCTAAATCTATGTGAAAACATGAGCACATGACATGCTAGGCTACCAGGGCTACCCCTAGAGGGAAGACAGATGTTCACTTGGGTGAAGGGAAAGGCAATGTTCACAAAGGAAGAATCAGCACAGAAGGATCACAAGTGGAGGAGCACAAGAGTCAAAGACAACAAGAATAAATGCTATTATATACCGAACCCCATAATAGCAGGCATAATAATCTTCCAGTGAATACAAGACAGACACTCAAGCTGAGTGGAGTGGGAAAGTGAATGGTACCACACACACACACACATATCCACCCATA